TTAAAAAAACAGGTTGTTAAGTGCTATTTGATAGCTTTGAATATCTGATATGTTATAATTATTCTTTGATATATTTTAACTATTTTGGTTGTTGTTATACATTCAGCAGACTCAAACTGAGAGCAAAAAGGCAAGAAGGCATCTAACTCAGTGCTCTTTGATATGTTCTAATTAACCTTGCGTAGTCTGCTGTAACTATCTTTCTAGACATTTTAAGTATGCTGGGTTGTGACAGTTATACATTCAGGAGGCTCAGACTCCCTTCAAAATTGCAAGTCGTTAAATGCTATTGGATATATAGAATTACCCTTTTATTATTTGTTGGGTGTGTAACCATCAAATCGGATCCGACTGGCACAGGAGGAGACTGCCCCTCCTTCTCCAGCAGAGCGTCTGGTGGACTCAAACCACGTACCTCTGGGATTGCAGTGCAGCTTCTTGCCACGAGGCCACCAGAGCTCCTTTATAATTACCCTTTGATACGTGGTAATCGTTCTTTGATGCATTATCCTGATCCTGCTGGTGGTTCTACCTTCAACGGGCCGGGACTCAGAGCCCAAGGGCCATTAGCTAAATGCTGCCTGATGCATTATAAATATTCTCATTTTTGGTTGTTACAACGGTTGTCACTTGGCCTCCCAGCTCCTCTAGGTTCAGGACAACTGAACCCTTGCCCAGTGCTGCAGCTCATTTGGCCATTGGTCAGCTGAGCCCAGCGTGGGGACCATCAGAGCATCCATCTAAATGCCCACTGTACAACAGTCTTAGTGACCAAGTGATTTCTGACTCTCAGTGACCCTGCAGACTGTCTCGGCTTTCTTCCTGGGAGCACCTCATGGATTTGAACGGCCAGCCTTTGGCTTGACCACCTTGAGCCTTCAGCACTGTGCCCCAAAGGGCTGTGTTTGTACCTTTCTATGAAGCTGACCGCCTCCTTCAACATCCGCCCGGCTGCCCTCTCCAGGTCCATGGGCTGCTCTGTGACAGCTTGGTTTCTCATCACCAGGCAGTTCCAGCGTCGCACGTACCCAAAGCTGGAGTACCAGGACAAGAAGAACAGGCCGGCCAGCGCAGCCAGGCCCAGCACGGCCTTCCAGGGCAGGGGGACAGCGCCCCAGGCCCTGCCCGCTGCCAGGGTCAGCACCCCCACAGCCAAAGCCTGCGTCCACAGCCAGAGCTGGGCCCTCAGGGCTCCGTCCACCTCCGGTGGCCGGTCAGGGTGGCAGTCATTGACCAGAGTGAAGGGCATGCCGTAGAAATAGTCAAATCCATGGCCTAGAGGGTGGTGGCAGAAATCTCCACGAGACACACAGTTCACACCTTGGTGCCACTTGCCTGCAGAGGGGTGGGAAAAACACAGGAGAAGGTTCAAGGTAGGACGGCATCCTGGGCACAAGGTAGATGACCACAGGATGAGATGGATTTGGAGAGGGCAAGATTTTCACCCATCAGAACAGGCAGTGTGCAAGCCCAGGAGGTCAGTCCATGTGGTGGTCTGCTGATGGCCAGGTGGGTGGTTCGAATCCACAGGTGACACAATAGCCTCGTCCTGGGAAGACGGACAGGCTTAGAACCTTGGGAAGATGGACAGGCTTGGAACCTCGGTGGGGAGGGCTGAGATCTATCAAGAATGACCGGACTGTGCTGGGTTTGCAGGGGTGAGTGGTTGGTGTGGGGCAGGTGGGCAGCAGAAGAACAGAGAGGCCTTGGAGCGGTGGTGTTGAAGAAGAGGACTGAATATTCCATGGACGGTCAAGAGAACAAATAAATAGATCATGCAGTTAGGGTGCTGCTTGGAGGACAGGATTTGGTCTCACTTATTTGTGGGCCTGTGGTCAGGAGGGGTCAGTCTTTGCAGAAGGACATCCAATTGGGGAAGGTGGATGGTCAGAGAGAGAGGGGAAGACCCTCGATGAGCTGGATGGACACAGTGACCGGAGCCATGGGCTTGAGCCGCCTAGGACAGGATTCAGATGTGGTGTTCTTCCAAGGATGGTGACACGTTACAGTTGAAGGCATTTAACGACAATAGCACTGGTCAGCATAAGGAACTCTGGTGGCCTAGGGTTTAACGAGTTGCCCTCTTGACCCAATGGCCGGCGGGCAGTTCAAATCTACCAGCTGCAAGAGAAAAAAAAAAGGGGCCATCTCCTCCCGTGCACGTTATAGCCTCTGGAAACCCAATGGACGGTCAGCGAGCCGTCGGCAGTGACTCCACAACATTGAGTTAGTTGTGTGACTTGAGCTGCATGGTTGTTGAGAGAGTGTGTGTTGAAATCCACCCAACAGTGCTTGGCAAGAACGGGCTGGCTAATAAAAAAATTACTAACAATGTTAAAATTATGTTAATAATTTATTAAAAATGTTAAAATTATTTTAATGATGATAATT